AGTCTTCAACTAACAACAGTACCTATGGTCGTATATAGTAATCCAACACACTTTTCAACAGTTGATTTGCCTTTGCATATAAATCTGGTAGAATCGGAGAATTCGATTGAAACATTTGTTGAACTGAGTAAACATAGGCAGCGCTGCTTGCAAAAACAAAAACAGGATTTTTGCAATTGAGTTGAGTGCTAATTCTATCAGCTGTAACCAACCGGTCACACTCAACACTTGATTGAAAATAGCTTGAAAGTGCACCATATTGGTTAAAAATACGATTAATACACTCCAACAGGCTCAACCATCTCGTGGAACACAGCTGCAATATTCGTATTAGAGTGTTTGCTTCCACGAACTCTTGAAACTCTTTGTACAGCTGTAATCTTTTGCAACTATGTGAAAAATGGCTGTGAATGCCTCTGCATAGCTGTTCAATAAATTTGGGAAATGTTTTACATGCATCAGCGGCACATAGAGCAGCAACATGGCATGTGCAGTGTATATGAAATATATTTATTGGTTGTACACTTCTGAAATGTGAAAGCACGGAATTTTTGGCTCCAATCATTACGTTAGCTCCATCAGTTCCAAGTGCCATTCCATTGACCAGTGGTATTTTATCTTCGTCCAGACCTGCCTTGATTGCAGCACAAATAAACTGCTTGTGCTTCTGTTCAATCAACTCAACGGTAACATCTCTATTGAACCTTACCAATGTCAACATCGAAGTCAATCACCACCATGGCCATTTTTTCTGTGTTTGTTATATCAGTTGATTCATCAACCAACAGAGTAAAATGACATGATCTCAACTTAGTGGACACATCTTCTTTGTTCAGTTTGCCAAAAACCTTTTTAATCACCATAGATCCCTTTGTTCGTTTAGAGCTGAAATCATTAGCGATTTTTGAATCAGGAAACCAATCTGCAACATTTTCCAAGATGTTGTCCATTAAACTTAGTGGCAAGTTTTTTCTTGCGACAAAATTTGCCACTTTTAATTCACATTCTGTTACCTGTTTGTTGTGAGCAGTTACAGGAGATGGTTTTTTTATCCTTAGTCAAGAACTGCAACATTCCACCAGCAAATTTCCTTGTTGCCATAGCTTGAATATGTTTTGCTCTTCTACCGTGGCTGCGAACGTCTCGTACACCACCAGATGCAACACTAAATATCTTTCTGCAGCACGTGCACACAGCGTTATAGTTGGAATCATTGTCCGTTGATATCCAGTCCTTAAATTCGCCGTTTGCAATCCATGTAGGTTGAAAATAGCATTTTCTGTTCACGTGAGCTTTTTTAACAATAATTGTATCCGCCTTTTCGTTTATTCAACAGTTTTCACTGCGGCCATCGTCTTCGCTTGTATTCATCTTCTCGCCATTTAAAAAAAAAAAGATATTATTTTTATATTTATGTCGTCATAATTTATGCGTAATTGTGACGTAACGACTAACAATCTGTCTAAACAAGTCCATCTTGCCGCGATGCATCTCGCCGCGCGAGCCTAACTGTCCAGAAAGCTCTTACAGTTTATTAATAGAGCGCGGGATGCCACTAAAACAATTTAAAAATGTAAATTTAAATCAAGAAAATCGATATCCTTAATGCAATCCTTAATTCAGTCCCGACTAACATCAACCTGATCCTTTATTTAGTCTGGACTGGATTAAGGATCAGGTTGATGTGGGTCGGGACTAAAATGACGGGATCAGGTTGATGTGGGTCGGGACTAAATTAAGGATCAGGTTGATGTGATTTGGGACTGGATTAAGGATCTGGTTGATGTGGGTCGGGACTAAATTAAGGATCATGTTGATGTGAGTCGGGACTAAATGAAGGATAAGGTTGATGTGAGTCGGGACTAAACTAAGGATCGCATTGATGTGAGTCGGGACTAAATTTAGGATCAGGTTGATGTGGGTCGGGACTAAATTAAGGATCAGGTTGATGTGAGTCGAAACTGGATTAAGGATCATGTTGATGTGAGTCGGGACTAAATTAAGGATAAGGTTGATGTGAGTCGGGACTAAATTAAGGATCGCATTGATGTGAGTCGGGACTAAATTTAGGATCAGGTTGATGTGGGTCGGGACTAAATTAAGGATCATGTTGATGTGAGTCGGTACTAAATTTAGGATCATGTTGATGTGGGTCGGGACTAAATTGAGGATCATGTTTATGTGAGTCGGTACTAAATTAAGGATCAGGTTGATGTGAGTTGGGACTAACTTAAGGATCGCATTGATCGCCCCACATCAACCTGATCCTTAATTTAGTCCCGACTCACATCAACTTGATCCTTAATCCAGTACCGACTCACATCAACCAGATGGTTATCAAAAAATTAAAATAAAACCTTTATTTTAAGGATTATATTTACAATCCGAGGCTTATCTAGACCACCAAAGTTCCACTTAGTGACTTAGCTGTGGACAACAAATATCTTCAGAGTTCAAAGTTTACCTGCCCCCATGCCACTCACAGATGTTCAAGTGTATTGTACTGTGCTCTGCACTAGGACTCGGCAGTGTAAGGATAATGAACTTTATTAAATGGTCACAACCCAAGTACGTGTTCAGAGTTATCTATGAGAGCAATCGCATCTTGGGTCATTGATTCTCATTTGCATTTGATCGAGTCATGCCTGCCTGCCAGGTGGTGGAGTCCATAGAGGATTACCTACTTGGGTCGCCCCCTCCCTCACTCCCACCAAAAAACAAACTTAATGTAATAATTCAAACGTATTTTTAAAGTCATACTCAAACATTTAATTTTCAAAACTATAACACATTTTTAAAAAAATAGAAGAACATTTTTTCAATCTTCCAATGTAACTTTTGTAGATTGTGTGCGACTTGGTCAAACAAAATTTAAAGGGTTGCAGAATATAGTAAATGTTGGGGAGCCCTGCCCGAGGGCGTTTCTCTCTCTTCTTCTTCTTAATCTTAAGGGCCCACGATCAATGTATTGATCACTTTGGCTCCTAGAAAACAAACGGAAACAAGTCTATAGATGACTCTGTGTTTCTCACCATTGCCCCAGAAAGTTTTGGAATTGTTGATCAGTTGAAGAGATCATGGGACAACAACTAGTTCTACTTGAATTGTCAATTACATTTTTTAAAATAAAGACAGCAAGTGTCTAAAGAAAATTATCATTTAATTTTTTAAAATGTAGAAAAGAAAAATAAAGCAACATAATTAAATGAATCAAATATATTTTACACATTTGAGCTATATTTGATGAATTTGAAAAAAAAAATATTACGATATTTGAATATATATTTAATATATTTCATTAAAAAAACCAACAACGTTGCATTAAAACAATAATTTGATGGCTAAAGTGTAGGGTCTATAAGTTTAAATAGTTGAGTCGTCTATTAGCCTATTATTTTTTGTGTTTTGATATCATGTCTAATTTAATAGCAGTAGCTTCAATTAGTCTGTGATCTGTTAGCATTATTGTCTGAGCATTTATGAAGGAGTAGCCACTCACTGACTCAGACTCAGCTGATAAGCGAGAGACAGATGAAGACAAAATCAAGGGAATGAATAGGCCTACCGTGTGCGAATATGACGTTATCATCATTATTTACCAACAGTCACGTGACAGGGTCTATAAGGCCATAGTTCCAGTGGACTGATATTTCATTGTTCACATGCAAGTGTATATCACACCCATGTGATAACTAGCCCCGCTTTTACAGCATAGCTACAAAAGTCATTTAAAACACAAGTAGAAAAATAAATATCGATTTAAAAAAAAATCATATACTTGATGTAAGGATAGCGTGTATGGAAATGTCTGCGGTTAAATTCGTTAACTTTCTGTGTATTGTGTTACTATTGTCAGATGTTGGCCTCAGTCTCAGTGATCCACAGTCAGGAAGCTATCTGAGAACTTTTGGCGAAATCAACGGTTTAGGGAGAGTCAAGTCAAGCAAAGTTTACACAGAATCTCTCAAAGCATTCAACAGTCTGCTGTCTGGTCAACAGTTAGTCGGTCCCAGGGGTCATATCGGAAGCTGGTTTCTCGTGAGAGCTGACCAGACTCGGCCGACCACTTCAAATGATACGGAAGTATCCAAGTTACATAGAGTCCCTGATAATGAAATTTCGGCTAAATTCAGAGCCGTAAGAGATGTATCAGGAAACATTAAGATTGATATATCAACTCCCAACACAGTCGTCAGCACATCCACCAGTGAGGTCGATGTATCATCAACTCCCAATACAGTCAACACATCCAGCAGTCAAGTCGATGTATCATCAACTCCCAATACAGTCAACACAACCAGCAGTCAAGTCGATGTATCATCAACTCCCAATACAGTCAACACAACCAGCAGTCAAGTTGATGTATCATCAGCAATGATAATGACCAGTGGAGTCTTCACAAGTTCAGCCACAACAAGAGCAACAGCCATCACAATGACCTGCAATAGAGACGTGGAGCGTCTTTTAAACAGTTTTACTAAAATGGAAGACTGGGCCCTGCAGTGTGAGTACTATGTAAAATACATCTGCTGTGTTGACTCGTCGTGAAACCTACTGCCTCTTAATATTTAGCTACTTTTTCATGCACTATCACATCTAACTTTTTAATTCACTTTGTCACTGGCACATGTATTTCATCAGTGAATGTCTCATGACTGCATATCATTTCTCACTGTCACATGTATTTCATCAGTAACTGTCACATGTATTTCATCAGTAACTGTCACATGTATTTTATCAGTAACTGTCACATATTTCATCAATAACTGTCATAAATATTTCATCTGTACTGTCAATTGTCTTTTATCTGTCACATGTATTTTATTAGTAACTGTCACTTTTTTTTTAATTTCCTATGACGCTATCAAAATTTAATGTATTTCACCTGTCACTGGCACATGAATTTAATCTACTCTATGTAATTCATCTATCATTATCACATGTATTTAATCTGTCACTATCATATGAAAAAAGAATTTCATCAATCACATGTATTTCAGTATTTGACTCCTGGGGAAAACCTGGCCCTTCTATCCTAGAAGGTCGTTTGAACTTTGTTGGTAATTACAAACAGTGCCGTAGCACAAGAGCGCCACCCTTAGATGGAGGTGATGGCTTCACTGGCAACTACTGTGTACTGACCCTCACACAGGTGACAGATCAGGTAACAAATTCTGGTAGTCTATGTTTTATACAATGGCGTAGCTATGGTAAGTGCCGCTCGGGGTGGGCAGAGATTTTACCGCCCCTGCCACGAAAAAAAAAATAAGCAGTTGGCCGAAAATGCCGCCCCTGACTATAGTAAGAAAATTTTGTCATCTGGGCGGAGTGCCCCTTGCACACTCCCTCTGATTTTTTGTAAACATCGCATTTCAATCATCAAATCTCAAACTACTTTTCCAGTTTCATTTTCAAGTCTTATGGTACTGGCCACACAAAGAGCTCCAGACAAAACTTTCTTGAACATGTCACACAGTACAAACACTTATAGATAATAAAGTATACTGGGGCATCATATGATGAACATATCCACAGAGCTCTGCAGGGGGCATGATGGTTTTGCTGAATGCTGCGTTAAAAATACAGTTTGGGGCTTGCATGCCGGATACATGCTCAGAGGCTGACATTTCACTGCTACTAAGTCAAGGTAAATTCTCTGTCATTTGAATGAGGAATCTACTGTTACAAAAGGGGTTAAATATATCTACTGTTACAAAAGGGGTTAAATATATCTACCGTTACAAAAGGGGTTAAATATATCTAACGTTACAAAGTGTTTAAATATACCTACTGTTACGAAAGGGGTTAAATATATCTACCGTTACAAAAGTGGTTAAATATATCTACCGTTTCAAAAGGGGTTAAATATATCTACTGTTACAAAAGGGGTTAAATATTTCTACTGTTACAAAAGGGGTTAAATATATCTACTGTTACAAAAGGGGTTAAATATATCTAACGTTACAAAAGTGGTTAAATATACCTACTGTTACAAAAGGGGTTAAATATATCTACTGTTACAAAAGGGGTTAAATATATCTACTGTTACAAAAGGGGTTAAATATATCTACTGTTACAAAAGGGGTTAAATATATCTACTGTTACAAAAGGGTTAAATATATTCACTATTAGAAAGGGGATAATATTTCTAATTGGTACAAAATGAATTGATGTATCTACTGTTACAAAAGAGTCAATTTTAATGCTATCTACAGTTTCAATTTGTGATGGGTTAATAAATTAAATCTCTTGTTTCTGAGAAAAAACTTTTACTAGAGAAATTAACTAACCAACAACATTTATTCCTTCATCTATAAACATCTCTAGAGACATAGGAGTCAGAATAATCAATACATTGATCTGGGCCCTCAAATATAGAAGAAGATAACAAAAACTACTATTTCACAATTTTCTGTTTTAAGCTATTGAAAAAATGTCTTCATTTGAATTTTTTTCTATTACTTTGCTAGGTTTGGTCACAGTTAACTTAACATCTAACTTCACAGCCGGCCCTACAGAGTGCAGAACTGATGACAGAGAATTTACTACAGCAACAATTTTAGCCATGTAAGGTTTCTTGTCCATAGCACAAAGATATGGGGGATGAAAGTAAGAAAATGGAACACTTGAATATTAGTGGGGTAGGATGGTGAGACCAGAGCTATCGAAAAAGACCTGCAACCTCAGTGGCTGTGTGTATGTGTGTGTGTGCTCGGATAATTAAGGGGCCCAAAGTTTTGGTGTGGCAAAAAGAGCTCCTATCAACTTAAAATGCAGTTGGGCTCAAAACCGAAAAGCTGCATGGGGCCGTCCAAAATTAAAAGTCATGCAATGACTCTCATTGCACTGCAATGGTAATTAATCTCAGTCCAGATAATGTTATTGACTTAAATTTATTTAAACAATATTTTGTCCAAGGTGTTACGATTATATCTGCTGTCATCCAATTCTTGACCCATAAATGGCCTTGACCTTCCAGAGTTCTGCTGTCATTGATAGCAACTTTAATGTTTCTGGGCACCGCCTTTGATCTTGTCTTCATTCAATTGCCAATGCAAAAGTACAAACAAATACTGGGGCCAGCAGGTGAGGAAAAAAGTTTGATATCAGAAATTATTCACAATGACAAGACAGATCTGCCCAATAGAAATCTGGAACAGAACAGTGTACATCAAAATGGCTACCACACTGCCACAGAAAAAGAAATAAAACAAAATGGCTACCATGACGTCATCAGTGCAGGTGAAAATGAAAGAAAACCTTTGTTAGGAGATAAAGCAAGGAGCCCAAGGGAAAGAAACTCCTGCTATGGTAATTACATCAATGTTTATCAATAATATTTTGATAGGAATTTGATCCAAATTATAAGTAATACCAATACATCTAAATTCATGTTAAATATTTAGTTATACCTTGTGTGTAGAAGCAATGCTGTAGAAACATTTCATTTAATGAGCTAGATAGCTAAGATTGAGTTTATTTTATGTTGGTCCTATCTATGCCATAGACATTCTCACAATGTTTATACGCCATTCTCAGAATGATGTGTGTATACCTATGCCTTTCTCAGAATGATGTGTGTATACCTATGCCATTCTAAGAATGATGTGTGTATACCTATGCCATTCTCAGAATGATGTGTGTACAGCTATGCCATTCTTAGAATGATGTGTTTACAGTTATGCCATTCTCAGAATGATGTGTTTACAGTTATGCCATTCTCAGAATGATGTGTTTACAGTTATGCCATTCTCAGAATGATGTGTTTACAGCTATGCCTTTCTCAGAATGATGTGTCTAAAGCTATGCCATTCTCAGAATGATGTGTGTACAGCTATGCCTTTCTCAGAATGATGTGTTTACAGCTATGCCTTTCTCAGAATGATGTGTTTACAGCTATGCCTTTCTCAGAATGATGTGTCTACAGTTATGCCTTTCTCAGAATGATGTGTGTATACCTATGCCATTCTCAGAATGATGTGTTTACAGTTATGCCATTCTCAGAATGATGTGTCTACAGCTATGCCATTCTCAGAATGATGTATGTACAGCTATGCCTTTCTCAGAATGATGTGTGTACAGCTATGCCATACTCAGAATGATGTGTCTACAGCAATGCCATTCTCAGAATGATGTGTCCACAGTTATGCCATTCTCAGAATGATGTGTTTACAGTTATGCCATTCTCAGAATGATGTGTCTACAGTTATGCCATTCTCAGAATGATGTGTTTACAGTTATGCCATTTTCAGAATGATGTGTTTACAGTTATGCCATTCTCAGAATGATGTGTTTACATTTATGCCATTCTCAGAATGATGTGTTTACAGTTATGCCATTCTCAGAATGATGTGTCTACAGTTATGCCATTCTCAGAATGATGTGTTTACAGTTATGCCATTCTCAGAATGATGTGTCTACAGTTATGCCATTCTCAGAATGATGTGTTTACAGTTATGCCATTCTCAGAATGATGTGTTTACAGTTATGCCATTCTCAGAATGATGTGTTTACAGTTATGCCATTCTCAGAATGATGTGTCTACAGCTATGCCATTCTCAGAATGATGTGTTTACAGTTATGCCATTCTCAGAATGATGTGTTTACAGTTATGCCATTCTCAGAATGATGTGTTTACAGTTATGCCATTCTCAGAATGATGTGTTTACAGTTATGCCATTCTCAGCATGATGTGTTTACAGTTAAACCATTCTCAGAATGATGTGTGTACAGCTATGCCATTCTCAGAATGATGTGTCTACAGTTATGCCATTCTCAGAATGATGTGTCTACAGTTATGCCATTCTCAGAATGATGTGTCTACAGTTATGCCATTCTCAGAATGATGTGTGTACAGCTATGCCTTGCTCAGAATGATGTGTCTACAGTTATGCCATTCCCAGAATGATGTGTCTACAGTTATGCCATTCTCAGAATGATGTGTCTACAGCTATGCCATTCTCAGAATGATGTGTCTACAGTTATGCCATTCTCAGAATGATGTGTTTACAGTTATGCCATTCTCAGAATGATGTGTCTACATTTATGCCATTCTCAGAATGATGTGTTTACAGTTATGCCATTCTCTGAATGATGTGTTTACAGTTATGCCATTCTCAGAATGATGTGTTTACAGTTATGCCATTCTCAGAATGATGTGTCTACAGTTATGCCATTCTCAGAATGATGTGTTTACAGTTATGCCATTCTCAGAATGATGTGTTTACAGTTATGCCATTCTCAGAATGATGTGTTTACAGTTATGCCATTCTCAGAATGATGTGTCTACAGTTATGCCATTCTCAGAATGATGTGTTTACAGTTATGCCATTTTCAGAATGATGTGTTTACAGTTATGCCATTCTCAGAATGATGTGTTTACAGTTATGCCATTCTCAGAATGATGTGTTTACAGTTATGCCATTCTCAGAATGATGTGTCTACAGTTATGCCATTCTCAGAATGATGTGTTTACAGTTATGCCATTCTCAGAATGATGTGTTTACAGTTATGCCATTCTCAGAATGATGTGTTTACAGTTATGCCATTCTCAGAATGATGTGTCTACAGCTATGCCATTCTCAGAATGATGTGTTTACAGTTATGCCATTCTCAGAATGTTGTGTTTACAGTTATGCCATTCTCAGAATGATGTGTCTACAGTTATGCCATTCTCAGAATGATGTGTGTACAGCTATGCCATTCTCAGAATGATGTGTCTACAGTTATGCCAATTTCAGAATGATGTGTCTACAGTTATGCCATTCTCAGAATGATGTGTCTATAGTTATGCCTTTCTTGGAATGATGTACTGACTAAGACAGGATTCATATTATTATTAACAGAATCCTGAAATCTATGAATTAACTTCAAATATTAGACTTTGTAATATCCCTTTGTCTTGCCTGTTGTAATTACAACAAAAAAACAACAACTGGAGTTGTTTCCCCTGGTCCACAACCTCATCTTCCTCCATTAAGTTTATCATACATTATTTTTTGATGATTTGAATTAACATTTTTAAAAAATAATGAATTGTGCATGTTAAATTCCGGGGGAAAACAATTCCATTGGCAGGAATCCTGGCTAAAGTCTTGTTAGCGTTCTCTGTGTACACCAATGGATCCAAGGTTCTAAACACAACACAGCCACCTGGATCACTGTCTGCCATCAATGGAATCCGTTTCCTGAGCATGTCCTGGGTCATTTTTGGTCATATTTACACCTTTAGCATTGGGCAATTTTGTAAGTAGACATTAAGACTGGAAGGGGGTGAACAAAGACTTTTGAAGTTGATATTGTTAATGCTGTTCTTGTTGTATTGATGATATAATAAAGCCACATGATGCAAACATAATTTAATTAAGCAACAATGAATTCAGTGTTGTTAGTTTGCACCATTATGTTGGGAATGATTGATGCTATAGTTATACTCAAAGGTGACATGTTCAGATGTTTAGACCATAATGCAAGAGTGACTTCAATTAAATCATTTAAAAATTATGTACATTTGTAGTTTTTGTTAATATGCCATCCCAGTATTTGCTCCAGCAGGCATCTTCAGAGTTGACATTCACATTGTGTGATAGCATGAAGTTAAACATAAATACACTACCTGAAGTGGTAATCTGTTGCTACCAGTAACATTTAATAATATGATTTGTGAT